TATGGGAGACAATAACTACTAACCAATCAACCAATTCATTGAGAAATATTCTTAATAGCTTATTATATGCCAGTCACTGTCCTAGGTGCTGGGGACAGAAAGGCTCACATGGAACAGCCCCTGCCTTGAAGGCACTTTCATCCTGCCAAGGTATATACAGGATCAGTTTTCTGTCACTGCATTTGATCAGAGCACTGCTGTTTTTACTTTGTGTTATTATGAACTTGACAAACATGGTCTTTCCCTATACAAAGAACAGAAAAATGGATTGTACGTGGAATCGATTTTCATATGATGAATTTGTATAGAATTAAATACCATAGTTCCCAAACTGACCTGTTTTCTCTGTAAACTTCTTTCTGCCTTCTTCTCCGTATTCTATGTGCTTCTTTGATGATGTTTTCTTTCTTTTCTTTTTTTATGTCACTCTCACCACCAGCTCCCAAATTGCCCCATTCCCCAAACACAAACCCCTTATAACAAAGAAGTAAATGACAACCGATGCACTGACTTGCTCAGTCTAACCTGTACATCTCATTCTGTATCTGTAGTCCATCCTCTCTCTTTCCCAAGGTGGAAAATCATTGTTGGTCTTTGGGAATTGTGAGTGGTCATTGCATTGATCTGAATTTTAAAGACTTCCAAAATTACATTGTGAATACCCAAATTGACTAGAAAGGACCTGTGAAGGAAGAGGCTATACGCATCCAGAGAAAAACTGGCAAATAGAAATATGTAGAGAATGATTCTACACACACACACACACACACACACACTTGTGTCTAATGGTATCCATCTCTAGGGCTGAGGGAGGGGAAGAAAAAAGAGAATAAAGAAAGTTACATGATAACTTTATTATATATTTAATAGGAATAAAAAAGTTGTACATAATAGATTTGCAGTTTCACGTGGAATCACCTTTTTTTATTCTACTTTGTTATGAAAATGCTTGTTCTATTTCATAAGTTCAAATAAAATGAATAAAAATGACCAAAAAAGCTACAACTGGTTCCTGTCAGCTGCAGGCTGGGCATCAGTGCCTAAGCCAGATGCCAGGCCACAGCTTGGTTGGTGTTGGGTTGTTCAGCTTATCCAGAGCCCAGTTCACTAGGAACACTCTGAGTGAGGAGAAAGGGAGGAGATAACAGGAGAAGGAGGTCATAGGGAAAATAAATGGGACAAAAGGCCTGTTTTTGGTCTTTGCATCCTTTCCAGTGATTCCCTGCCCTATCCTTGGGTCCTTATTCTTCCCAAGGATATTCAGGATCCAGTCCCCTCCTCTTGTTAGGGGTGTGCTTAACAATAACAGCTAGCTGACAGTTCAGGGTCAAGGTTGGGATGAAATGAGGCCCTCACAAACCCTTGAACACAAAGAAAGGAGGTTGACTTTGTCCTAACACAGTGAGGATGTGCACCAAGGACACAGTAACACTCTTCTGGATAGGGCTCCTCTCATCTCCAGGTGGAAACTTCCAGGTGGAAATAAAAACTAGCATTCTATACACACATTTATCAGTTCTTTCTCTGGATGCAGATAGCTTCTTCCTTTATAGGTCCTTTATAGTTAATTTAGGTATTTATAATAGTCAAAATGACTTAGTCATTCAAAATTGTTCTTAAAACAATATTTGTTAGTGTATACCATGTTCTCTTGGTTCTGCTTATTTCCCTCTTCATTATTTCATGCAAATCTTTCCATGTTTTTATCATTTCTTATAGCACAATAGTATTCCAATACAATCTTATACCACAGCTTGTTCAGTCATTCCCCAATTGATAGGCATCCCCATGACTTCCAGTTCTTTGCCAACACAAAGAGAGCTGCTATAAATATTTTAGAACATTTGGTTCTTTCCCTTTTCCCCGAATCATCTTTGGAAATAGAGGCAATAGTGGTATTGCTAGATCAGCGGGTATAGGCAGTTTCATTCAAGATTTGCATAATTCCAGATTGCTCTCCAAAATGGCTGACTCAGTTCACACAATGATGACCCAGTTGTAGCTTGATGGGAGTTAGTCAATACTAGTAGTGGGACTTCTCATTCTCCTTTCCTCACAGGCCCCGCCCATACTCATGGAGCTCCTTCTTTATGGTGGGATGCCAGTTAGTTAAGGACTATGGTGAGGAAGTTACAGAATGGGGGTGGGGGGAGGGATTGTGACAGGGATTAGCCATGAGGGTGGGGTCTTAGAATCCTTCAAAAGACTCTGTGGGTTCCTGTTGAGTTGGAAGAGGGGGTGAAAAATCAGAAGCTTCTGGCAGTGTTGGAACTTTGGCCTGAGACTAGAAATGAAATTTGGACTATTATAGATATCAGGTTTTAGGTATGGTTTGACAGAAGTGATGGGAGAAGCAGAAGATTTGCACTTCAAGAAAGGGGAAAGGGGAAGGGAAGAAGCATTTATGAAGCACCTACTATGTGCCCGGTGCTCTACATAGATTATTTCATTTGATCCTCACAATAACACTTGGAGGTAGGTTGTTGATGAGGGTGGAATGCTCCCTACTAACTCAGAGTCAGTTTTGCTTAAAACTTTTATTTTTCTCTTGGAAGGAAAGGAGCTATTTGGTGGAGAGGGAGGGGTCATTGATAAATGAATCTTATCAAAAATAAAATGTATTAACAAAATATTTTTAAAACTACAAATGTACAACATGTTTGAAAAATATGAATTCCCTTTAGTGGAATTAAAACATTTTAAAACCAGAAAACCTGGGAGGATTTATGAATGAATAAAAAATAAAGTGAGCAGAACCCAAGACAATGCTTTTTATACCGCAAAACTGTAAGTGCAGCAGAAATCAGAATCACAGAATCTGAGAGCTGTTTGGGCCCTCAGAGGTCAGCTAGTCTAACCAGTGATGTCAAATTCAAATAGAAATTTGTTATTGTTATTTAGTCATTTTCAGTCATGTCCAAAACTTTGTGACCCAGTTGGGGTTTTCTTGCCAAAGATACTGGAGTGGTTTGCCATTTCCAGTTCATTTGACAGATGAGAACTGAGGGAACTGAGGCAAACAGGGTGAAGTGACTTGCCCAGGGTCACACAGCTAGTAAGTGTCTGAGACCAGATTTGAACACAGGAAGATGAGTCTTCCTGACTCCAGGTCCTGCATCCTATGCACAGCAGGGCCCCCTAGCGGCCCCAAAATAGAAATGGGAGCCACATATCTGTCCTTAAGGATCACTGCAGGCCACACACACTAACTTAGTTTTAAAATGAAATGTCATCTGCTTTATTATATTTTCATGTCTTTGTTAAATATCTCCCAACTACTCTTTAACCTGGTTCCAAAGCATTCCAGCACACTTCAGCCAGGCAGCAGGCTGTGCATTTGTCCCCTCTGGTCAAACCTACACCTGCATGGAATCCACACTCTAACAAAGCCCATAGGATTTGGTCATTCAGTCCCTCCAAGGCCGGATCTCCTGGAGCAGCCTCTTCTGATTGTGGACACCTGTAATGGTTAAGAGGGGGATTTGGAAAGCTGGACTCAGGGTCACAGAGTTTGGAGATCAGGGTCAGAAAAGCAACTCCAGTTCTATGAGAAATGTTTTACATTCCAATGAACTAATTACTCATCAGAGATATAAAAGCAGTATTTTTCTCCTGCTCCTTGTAAGCCATGTGGGGACAGGAAGTCTTGTGAGAAAGTCCTCCATATACAACCCTCCACAACTGGATGACAAAGGCAAGAGGAAGCTTCTGGGCTCAAAGAAGACGGCTCCACTCCCTTGAACCTCTTTCCCTAGTTCAACCCCAGGGTCCCCAAATCATGTCTGGCCAAGGGATAAGATGGCTTATAGCCCAGGGGAGATTGCCCACCCACTTATTATCACAAAATCCCCAGCCTTCTTGGGAAAAGAACAGAGGCTCAGAGAGAGGCCTCGAACCTTCCGGGACAAAAACTATGTCCCAGCTACTCCGTGTGGTATGAGCAACAAATGCCCAACATGACCCAGGATCTGACCTGACATATTTGTAGCAAATGTTTTCTCTTAGTTACTGCCTAATTACTGCCAGCTAGGAGACGGTAGGACCTAAGTCTCTGCTACTTCCACCACTGTGTGTCTGCCTTCCTTAGATCAATTATGACGGTAATGGAAACTTCCACACCAGGAATTTTAGAACAAGGGAGCAAAACTTGGATGGCCTCTGTTGAGGAAAAACAATTATCTGATGCTGAGCTGAGATGGTGATTATAAGATGGGAGAGAAATATAATTTAAAAATTCATCTTTTTGGCAAGAAATACTAGGGCAGAACAAAAGAGGGAAAGGCAAATGTTCCCAGCAGAGTGGATCATTCCAAAGGGGAAAGGAGAGCGGGGGAGGAAGGAAGTTATAGGTGGAGATGAATCAACTGGCTCTACCCATGTACAGAGTCAGGATTCCAGGGAGTAGAGAAGGGGCAGGAGCTTCTTTCTATTTAGAATCTGGATATTCTCTCCTTCAATAACTCCAAAGGGAAACCCTTCCCTTCCTCAGAGGAAAAGAAGAGCCCCTACTCTGGGACAGTCTAAAAAGGGGACCAGGAGGTCACCCAGTACAGTGACCATCACCAACAGAGATGGAGCCCCACAGTCCTGGAATGGGCCCAGAGCAGAGGCCACAGAAGCCCTTAGGGAGGCCCATGCAATCAAAGAAAAGCAGGGACACACACACAAGGGGTGCAGCAAAATGGCAACAAAATAGATAGAACTGGAACTCCCTGAAAGTCCATGCTGAGGGGCGACCTGTGGGTCAGGGACCAAACAGCCTTTTTGTGCATTTTTCCAGTTATGGGAGGAGTACACAGCCTGGGCTCTGTCTGAAGCCTTGGAACAAGTCTGAATATAACATGTCCATGAGTGCACCCAAGCAGTGCAAAGCAAAGACAAACGTCTGCACCCTCAATATGTACCATATACCGGCCGTCCCCCAGGCTCCTTCCCCTCTTGGCCCCAGCCCCCACCTGCAATCACAGACTCAGTAGAGCAAATAAAAGGATTCTCAGACATCTCCAAACTTTCACTTATTTTCCCTTCATATGGCCAGAACATCTCCACGCTGTCAGCCTGTCCCCCAAATCCCATGACCCAAATGTGCAGCTCAGTTGAGATTGTGGAGAAAAGCTGAAGTTTCAAGAACAATGATTCATTAGGCTGTTTGTGCAGTCAGAAAATAATCCCAGAGGTCAGTGCAATGTCAAATGTGAAGGAGGGCTCACTCCCAAAGCCCTCTGGCCCTCACTGTTGGTTGTTTCCCTTCAGAGTGAGATAGGCAGAAAGAAAGAAGGTGGGGATGGGGGGCCTTAGAGAGCAGGGTGAGGGCCTAATGATGCTTCCCTGGGCTTGGGCCAGTAGAGTCCAGGGAGGATCCCAGGGGCCAGTGCCGGGGAAAGAAGCCAGAGGTCCACAGGAACGACACAGGGACTGGAGGCTTGTTTTCTTCCTCAGGCCCATACCAGGCAATTCTCTCAAGCTGAAGAAGGAAAGACAGATTCAGGGAGATCCTCCAAGTCCCCTCTGGCCTCCAGCCTCTCATCATTCTGAAGGGCCTGCCTCATCACCCATCCAGTCCTCAGCCCAACCTCTCACAGACCCTCCTCTTTGCTTGGCCCCCTTTACCCCAGCCCCTCTCTCCTTCCAGGCCCCCAGAGTCTCACCTTTGGCTGGGAGAGAGACATCTGACCCCTGTGCACTGTCATTGTCTGGAGACAAAGGAGGGAAATGACCCAGTCAGGGACATACATTCCAGAACCAGGGTATGGAAGGGAAGGGGACACCAAGAAAAGGGCTAAGCCTCTCCTCTGCCTTCTCATTGCCCAGGTCCCAAAGATACCCTGGGCTAGGCCTTCCTTCTCCCTTCCACGTCAACCCTTCACTTACCTGCAGCTGGAACAGAGACCCCTCCTTTTCCACTTGGAAAACAAAAAAATTTCCAGTGAGGAATCCATGAGAGGAGACCACACCAAGGTCTCAGAAGTTCACTGGTTTGCCTTGGAGACACAACAAATTACAACTGGGACTGCACCCCCATCTCCCACTCCAGTCCAGCCCCTGGATCCAAGAGGAAGAGAGAAAAGGGACCCCCCAAATAGGCCACTTCCCCACCTCCAGGCCAGCCTCCAGGGGTTCCCAAGGCTGGTCTGCAGCCCCCAGCTGGGAGACACCCAGACCCTCTGGCAGAGATCCCCACATCCATTTCTGATCTGAGTCTGAAGCACATTCCCCACTAGGCCAGCCTGTTATACCCCTACCAGGCATCCTCAAGATAAACCGTTTCTAGTTGAGGATTTTGTTCATCTAGAGTCTTAGGGCCCATGTGAGAGTCCCTTAGATGGGAAAGAGAAGACTTGGGGACAGAAAGACAAGCTGAGGGTCAGGGGAAGCCAGGATCTCCATGGGTCCAGGGCCCTAAGGACCCTAACCCACAGTCCTGCCTACCTGAAGCCTTCTTCCTCTAGATCACAACTCCAGCAATGACTGAAATGAGGATGAGGACAGCACCAATGCCCCCCACAATGAGCTAGGCGGATGAGGACTGTAGCTCTAAGATGGAAAAGGAAAGTGAGAGGCCCTGATCCCTCTGGAGCCTGAGATTGACTAACCTCTCCCCCACCTCCCCCCAGTAAATCCACCTCCCTCTGGTCTTTTGGAGTGTGGGGGATGGCCTTTTCCCAGCCCCTCCTCACTGTCCTTACCCCACTTCAGGGTGAGGGGCTCAGGCAGTCCCTTGTGCTGAACTCAGCAGGTACATTTCCCTTTGTGGCCCAAGGTCACTCCCACACCTGCCCACTTCTGGAAGGTCCTGTGGCCTGCAGGCCTGGTCTCAGTGAATTCCATGTCCTGGAGCTGTTCCTCCCCATCTCTCTGCCAAGTCAGGGAGATGTGCACAGGGTAGAAGTCCTGGGCCCGGCACCGCATGGTCAACCAAACTAAGGGGCAGACAGCAAGACACTCTCCCCACCACCCCCAACCAAAGCCCTGCTAAGGGACGGCAGGCTACCGGTTCCCGCGTGTCACACACACACACACACACACACACGCATATTCACGACTTCTTCCTTTCAGCACCACCTTGACTTCACCTGAGATTAAGGAGCTGGTTCCCTGGAAACTCACCCTGGGCTGGTGTTGGAGGAGCTTTCTGTAGCCAAAGCCCATTCCACCCACACGTCTACCCCTGGATGCTGTGTTGTCCAATCTCCAGAGGGCCGCTTAATACTATTTCCTACTTACCTGCCTAGGTCTTTGTCAGGGGCAGGATCCCCAGCAAAAAGAGAGAGCTCACGTAACATTCCGTGGTCCACAGGCAAAGAAGCACAAGATCACTGAAACCTGTTCACACTGGGTTTAGAGAGTGACGAATCTCTAACTTCTGGTTGGTTTCACAGAGGCTCTGCCAGCCAATAGCAAATGGAAGAAAAAAACATCATTGGTGACTGGACAGAATGGGCACGCACAGGTTGAGGGACCAAAAGTAAAACTGACACGGAAGAAATCCCCAGCTTTATAGACCTTAGCTGGTTCTCTGTTAGTCACAGAACAGCCTCAAATTCTTTTTTTTTTTAATTAATTTATTTTGATTTATCAACAATCACTTCCATAAGCTTTTGAGTTTAAAATTTTTTCTTTCCCTCCATCCCACCCTCGCTCCCCAAGATGGCGTGCAGTCTGATATAGGCTCTACATATACATTCCTATTAAACATATTTTCACATTAGTGATGCTGTGTAAGGAAGAATTGGAACCAATAGGAGGAACCACCAGAAAGAGGAAAGAAAATTCAACAGAAGAAAAAAAATAGCAAATAGTATGCTTCGATCTGCATTCAAACTCCATAGTTCTTTCTTTGGATGTGGATAGCATTTTCCATCATGAGGCCTTTGGAGATGTCTTAGGTCCTTGTATTGCTGAGAAGGGTTGAGTCTTATCAATATTAGTCATCGAATAATGTGGCTGTTACTGTGTACAACGTTCTCCTGGTTCTGCTTACTTCACTCAGCATCAGACCATAAATGTTCAGGTTTTTCTGAAGTTCACCTGCTCATCATCTCTTATAGCACAATAGTATTCCATTACATTCATATACCACAAGTTGTTCAGCCATTCCTCAATTGATGGGCATCCCCTCAATTTCCAATTCTTGGCCACCACAAAAAGAGCTGCCATAAATATTTTTGTACATGTTCCTACAATATCATAAAAAATGCCCAGCACTCAGTAATTTTTTTATGTTGAAATGAGTTAATTGTATAGGGATTTGATTGTTTAAAGTATTTATTTTTTTCCAAGTCACAGAATATCCCAAATACTTCCTTTGGGGTACTTATGTGATGATTACCAGAGTTGACTCCATTTTTAATAAGTTATATTTTGTTAGTTCTAGAGTAAAATATAGTGACCAATTTAATAACATAAAATACTACTTCTCTCTAAAAATATTACATACTGCTTTTTGAAGCTGTCATAGTACTACAGATATTATGCAATATATTTGCAAGTATTAGACTAAGTACCTTTAGCTAAATTTCCATCTTATCCTTCCTAGATTACATACATATTTTCAAATAAATTAAGTTAGTGTTTATTAACTCTGCTATTACTGCCATTGTAGGTCTAAAATGGATAAATGTGTATTCTGGAACCCACTTAAGTTTTTAGCTTTTACAGTCTCTGGATAGCAGCTTTTGGCATTGTGGATACAATTCCCACTCTCTTGATTGATGAGTCCAGAGCCTGGACCACCACTTTTTTTTAAAATTTTGATTTATCAACAATCACTTCCATAAGCTTTTGAGTTTAAAATTTTTCTCCCCCTCCCTCCCCACCTCCCTTCCCAAGACATCACACATTCCTATTAAATATATTTTCATGTTAGTCATGTTGTAAGTAAGAATTAGAACCAATAGGAGGAACCACCAGAAAAAGGAAAGAAAACTCAAGAGAAGAAAAAAAAGAGCAAATAGTATGCTTCGATCTGCATTCAAACTCCGTAGTTCTTTCTTTGGATGTGAATAGCTCCATCACGAGGCTTTTAGAGATGTCTTAGATCCTTACATTGCTGAGAAGGGCTAAGCCCATCAATATTAGTATGTAGTTTCCTTCCGTTTCTCTTTTGATAAGATCCATTTTTGATTTTACTTTGTCTGAGATCAGGATTGCTACCCTTGCTTTTTTTTTAGTTCAGTTGAAGCATAATATATTCTGCTCCAGCCTTTTACCTTTACCCTGTGTGTGTCACTCTTTTTCAAATGTGTTTCCAGTAAACAACATATTGTAGGATTGTAGTTTTTAATCCATTCTGCTATCTACTTCTGTTTTATGAGAGAGTTCATCCCATTCACATTCACAGTTATGATTACTATCTGTGTCTTTCTCGCCATCCTTTCCCCCTCCCCCGTTTATGCTTTTCCTTCTCCTTTCTCCTTTTCCCTCCTCACTAGTGTTTTGCTTTTGACCACCACCTCCCTCAGTCCCACCTCCTTTCATTAGCCCCCTCCCTTTTCTTCCCCTTTACCCTTACTACTTCTTCTCTACTTCTCTCTCCCCTCCCTTTTCTTTCCCCTTTTCCCTCCTACTGCCTAAAGGGCAAGTTAGATTTCTATACCTAACTGATTATGTTATTCCCTTCTTGAGCCAAATCTGATGAGAGTAAGATTCAAACAATGCTCATCTCCCTCCCTTCTTTCCCTCTGCTGTAATAGGCTTTTGTATCTTTTCCTATAATGTAATTTACCCTTGTCTGCCTCCTCCATTCCTTTTCTCTCAGTACATTTTCTTAGTTAGATCAGATTAATCCATTTACGTGGATCCATTTAACCCACTTGATTAGATTTTTTTTTATCATTACTCAAAGTCAAAGTATACCCACCCCCTTGATGTATATCTCTTTAACATGGTGTAATAACAATACAGTTCTCAAGAGTTACAAGTGTCATCTTCCCTTGTAGGGATATAAACAGTTTGCCTTTATTAATAACATGTTGTTTCTTTTGGTCCTGTTTACCTTTTTATGTCTCTCTTGAGTCTTGTATTTGAAGATCAAATTTTCTGTTGAGCTCTGGTCTTTTTATCAGGAAGGTACGGAAGTCCCCTATTTCATTGAATATCCTATCCTCCCCTGAAAGATCATGCTCATTTTCCCTGGGTAGTTGATTCTTGGTTGTAATCCAAGCGCCTTTGCCTTACAGAATATCATATTCCAGGCCTTATGGTCTTTTAATGTAGAAGTTGCAAGGTCCTGTGTAATCCTGACTGTGGTTCCATGATATTTAAATTGTTTCTTTCTGGCTGCTTGCAGTATTTTTTCTTTGACCTGGTGATTTTGGAATTTGGCTGCTGTATTCCTTGGCATTTTCAATTTGGGATCTCTTTCAGGAGGTGATTGGTGGATTCTTTCTAGGGCTATTTTACCCTCTGGTTCTAGGACCTCAGGGCAGTTTTCCTTTATGATTTCCTGAAACATACTGTCCAGGCTCTTTTTTTCATCATGATTTTCAGGTAGGCCAGTAATTTTTAAATTGTCTCTCCTGGATTGATTTTCCAGGTCAGTTGTTTTACCAATGAGATGTTTTACATTTTCATCTATTTTTTCATTCTTTTGTTTGTTTGACTGATTTGTGTCCTCTCATGGAGTCATTAGCTTCCATTTGCCCAATTCTAATTTTTAACAAATTGTTTTCTTCTATTAGATTTTGTACCTCCTCCTCCATTTGGCTAATTGTATATTTTAGGGACTTGTTTTCTTCAGTGTACTTTTTTCCAGTTGGCCAATTGTATTTTTTAAGGACTTGTGTTCTACAGTTAATTTTTGTCCTTACTTTTCCAAGCTATTGACTCTCTCTTGCCTACCTCTCATTTCTTTTCCCATTTTTTCTTCTACCTCTCTCATTTGACTTTTAAAATCCTTCTTGAGCTCTTCTAAGTAGGCTTTTTGGGCTTTAGACCAGTTCAAATTCCCTTTTGAAGTTCCACAAGTGGGTTTACTGACAATGTTGTCCTCTACAGAATTTCTGCCTTGATCTTCCCTCTTCCCATAATAAGAATCTATCATACATTTCTTTTTGTTCATAATGTTTGCTTATTTCCTAGCCTTTAAAGAGATTGGGCTCTCCTGCTGGGGAGCAGAGGGCACTGACCCAAGCTTCTTGTGTTGGGAGCCTAGGGCCTGGTCGCTGGCTTTGTGTGCTGAGGCCTCCAATGCTGGCAGTTGGAGGCTGTAGGGTTCTGGCAGATTACCTGATGTTGGGCTGGAATCAGCAACACTGGAACTCTAGGGGTAGGACTGGGTAGTGTGGCTCCTGGAGATTTCCTGCTCACCCAGGCCTTTCCTTCCTTTTGCTTTCTTCAGCTCCTTTCAGATGGATGTTGAGGATGTTTATTCACCTGGGGCCCTTTGGAGTGCTGCTTCCCTTAGTTTTGCTGAGGCACTGGGAGACCCAGTTGCTGTAGAATGCCAAGGCATCTGGTGGTTTTCCAAGCTGGTTTCCACTGTTTCCCCTGCCCTCACTGAGGCACTTGGCAGGGGGGGCGGTTCCAAGTGTTGGTGTTTGCCTGCTCCACCACCTGGGTTTCAGGATCTCCTCCTGGTATGCTGAGTTGGGACTTTCCACTGGCTTGCTGGGATGCCTCTTGCTCTGTACTGCTCACCTTCCCCCAGGGCAAGCGGGGCCTTTCCTGTTAATCCCTCAAGCTACCTGGGCTACTGGACTGCTGCACCCCATATTTCTTCTAGTTCAGCTGTTTCAGGGTTTTTCCTGGGGTGATATTTTCTGGGCTTTCTGAGGTTAATAAGGGAGGGTAAGAGCAACTTACTTCTTACTCTGCCATCTTTGCTCCTGGAAGCAGAAGTCCAGCCTCTAATTCTGTGGAGCACCCAGTCTCCCTCCCTCACTTAATCATTTCAGCTGTGCTCTTGTGCTCCCAGCTGGAACCATAAAAAAAGAAGGTCCCAGCCCTCAACCTGCTGGCCTTCCAACTCCCAGACCTCCTCAGTGTGACCCTTTCCCATCCTAAGAAGTTAGAAAGACAATGTCACTACCCAGTATTGAGGGCATCTGAGGACTGAAGAAATCTGCAAACTGATTTGTGGAGGGCTATGTTGCCACCTTTGTTTTACTAACCTCCATCCCAGCTGTGATTCAAGCAAGTCTTGTAGCTGTGTAGATAAATAAGCTAGGGACTCAGGAATAAAGAGTAACTCAGGGTCCAGTAAATGGAATTTGGAATCAGAGTAGAAGACTTTGTCTCACCATAAAAGGGGCAGTTAGGTGCCCCAGTGGATAGAGCCTAGGGCCTAGAGTCAGGAAGACCTCAGTTCCAATCCAGGCTTC